GAGGATAGTGGAAGAGGGCCGCTGGTTCATGTAGGCTTTGCGCAGCCGATGCTTTTCGGCTAGCCGTCAACTGAAGTCTTCGTCTTTGTAGTCGAACCAGTTTGATGTTAGCCACGTGCGAATCCGGGGACTCCCAAGGCAATCACAGTTGACACCACCGAGTCTCCAAGTTTGCGTTGTCGTTCAGGGCACTGAAGTTATACGATGAAGTAGGTTGCGACAAAGTCATTAGCAGAAGGTTTATTAGGCTTGGCATCGATTATATGCAAGATTTGTGTTTACTGCCATTGAATGAGGGGAACTAAGAACGACGTGTTTAGACAGGAAGAACAGACAGTTCATGAAGTATTTTTGACGCAGCCTTAGGCCCAATTTGTTCCTAACTCTATAATGAGCGAGAGGAAGCACTCTAGCAGTCTTTAGAGTACAGGAGTGGGGATGGGAACATCAATTGTTAGTTTCGTACAGTTTAGTATATTTGCGAGTAATAGGCGATGCCTTTGAAAACCCTATTGAATGTGACACATACAATGTCCAGCTTTATATGAGCGTGTTCCTAAACTGTTGTTCGTAACATATGCTTATTACAGAATTTTGTCTTCAAAAATGAGGGTTGCAAGCCAGGCACCCTCAGTTGTGGACGACAAAGTTTAATACGAGATGACGCAAATCCGCATCAGAGGTGGGTGTGTGCAATGCTTTGTTTGGAATAACAGACCTATCCTTTTCAATTAAGCTTTACTTTTAAGTTATTGATTTCCTGGGCGCTTTGATTGTGAGTTTTTCATACACGGGCCGCGCTCAGTACGCAGAGCACGTGATCCCAGCATTTGTTAAGGGTACATCTTTAAGTCCCTCCCTCCGCAAGGGGACAAGCAATGCTGTCTCTAAATTGGGCTGATAAGACACCCCAGACGGCTGTTGGACTCCATCATGGGTTAGGATTTTGTTTAATGCGTAAACGACCCCAGTTAGCTGGACTGCCTACGGGATTGCTTGTCGCCCTCTCTGCAGAACTTTTTGAAATAGGAGGAGAGGGTGAGGGTGAGAAGGGAAACGGTGTTTCTGCTTGCGTGGACAAACACAACATCGGATACTCTCACCTAGTCTAATCTGCTGGCTAAGTCGGTTACCGGTGTGTCACCGTCAGGCAGAGCCTGACATAGAGGAGCCCCATGTGAGAGTTAAGTTTTAGTCTGTGGATGTTAAACGTAGTCACCAACTGCCAAAGACAGATTATGCGACCTCCTATGACCTCACATGAATCCCAAACTGGACACTCCTACAGCCTTCATTTTACATATTACAACATTCTGGTTAATACAACAATATGACTCACATCACGAGAATTTTTCACCAGTCACTCCGAGTCTCTTGAAAAGGGCATTGTCCAGAACTTTCCTCAATTTACTTGGACACTGATAGATCTTAGGTTAACATTAAGCAGACTGCGTTTGTGTTAACTAAAAGTAGGCCACAAAACATAAGTTGATGGTATATGAACGTTGGCTCTGGAGTTTTTTCGTGGACAGGTGAGACAACTACTGACATACTTCGGAGGAGTAAATGTTTTGTTTCCCATTTAGGGACGCGTTTACCAGACTATGTTAGGTACGTGTACCTGTTTATACGCAAAGCATTTGAGCAGTTCGCGCAGTAAATAGAGGATAAATTCCTCGGTTGGGCTCCGTCCACAGCATATTTATACACCTATTACTTTTTCTGCCTACATGAATAAAGTTCAATTGATGATATTTTGCTTCCTCAACGGAGCGATTTTTTTTAGAAGATAGAACCTGTCGCACCAGAATGCAGACCTATTTTGAATTTTCTACCTCCTTGCCATACTGTAAAATTTTGGCGTTTGTTTCCTTCTAAATATACTTCTCTCTGAACTAAACTAAACAAGAAACAATATCACTTGATAACTCATAACCACTAGAAAACAGTGTGCACCATCAAACCAAATTTCCTATTCATAATTCTTCCACAACACCCGGAAGATAACTTAGACTCAGGGAGAGGAAAATCTCGTGAAGGATCCAGTAGGATGGGCATGAAGACAACAACATTTTCTTTATCTTTAGTAGAACGCTGGAGGCCTTTGAATCCCTAGGTGCAACCAGAAAAGCCTTGTCATATGTCGACTGGGCTGCATTTCAGAGAGACGTAAACGCACCAAATGTTTGCTCGAAATGATACTTACAACGACTAACTGTTTTGGAACTGAGTAGGGCGTTAGCTTAAATTGGGAAACGCGGAAAAGAGTGGTGATTAAATTGTCGTTGGCGCTCAGGTGACTGACGGGTGTGTCTGTTTAGAAGAAAGAATACGTTGTTCTAAAAATCCTTTCCGATGCGGAGCATTTCAACTCGAGTACTTTTTAAGAAGGATTGAGAGAAGACGATCCGTTCAGTGCACCGGAGCATCTGTAGCGGCACATAGCCTCGAACTGCCAGCGAAGGCAACTGACCGCGCATTTGGCGGACGGATTGGAAGCTGTGTTTTAGTTGTCAGCGGGCCACACCAAGATGTGGGAGACGGGGTGAAGAAAGAGGGAGAGAGAGGAATTCGCTTTATTTTAAAATTATAAATTCACAATTTTTAACAAAAGTGGGCTCTATTCACTATGGGCAGTAAATAAGTTAATGGACTACTCAAGAGTCTAAATATTTAACACAAAAGGAGCGATTATAATAGGGACAGTTCAAGCCTTTGCTTCCGTACTTGTATCTCTTCGCACGTGAGATAGCGCGCCAGGAATGAGAATGCAGAATCTCAATGTGCCAATGAGAGACAAGAGACATATCGGAAGCCGCGGCGCATCGGGAGTGAAGACTTTGCAGAAATAAGATCATAATGCAAGGGATGGGCTACGCCATCTAGAATTCGACCAGAAAGTTGCTTGACCGTCTTGAAATGTCGTCGAAGGATAATATGGATTAAAAGGGACAATAAACACCAGCGGCAGAACAGAGCATTCGGAGAGCTTGTTTTAAAATTAACAGGTTTTTTGAGCAAAGCAGGAAAAATGAGAGGAGAGCAATGTAGAATAAGAGGAAGAGTGCAGGCATCTATGAATCGCCAGATGAAGGGCTAAGGTGTGTGGTAGGAGCTTAAGCGACGAATGTAATAAGGACGTTTACTAACTTTAGTTAATAGGGTCTCAATGTGGAGGGTAAATGTAAGATTTGATGACAAAATAATGTCAAGGTACCTTAAAGAGGATATCTCGTTAGGAAGAATGTCAAAAGAGTGAGGACTAGGAGGGGGTCACAGTCGGAAAATACACTGGACTGATTGTTGGCTGTTCATTAAGAGACCATTTTTCTCCGACCATACTAGGGCATAGTCTAGGCCATCCTTCAGATGATGAGAGAGTTGGTACGTTCCGACAACCGCTGAAATGCGCATGTTTAACACGATCCGTGATTTGGAAGCAGCCATTAAATGGAGAAAGGGTGCATTCACTGTCTAGATTGATGTTTGAAATTTAAAGATGGATGGGAGCAAATAAAACTGTTGTGCCTGTAACCAGGCTTGATATATAAGCGACTTCCAAGTTGTGGAACAAAACCACTTATTGGTCAACCAGCAAATGCGGAAAGAGCAAGCAAAAATTAGTAATCTGGGGTAAAATTTGAAACTGCATCTACTTTTAACTTCAGACAGCAAGTCTGATTCTCTTAGCACCGTCAGAAGTTTGGAGAATATAATCGTCACTAAGTATATGATGTCAAGGCCAAAAGTGGACGCATAGCAAAAGGTACTTAAAAGACTCATTTTTAATTGAAAGGATTCCGTAATCATCATCAAACTCGAGTTTCCCCTGGTCGCATCTAAAGCACCACTGAATGGGGATCTCCTTATACAGTACGTGACCTACCCCCGTCCAGTGAAGTAACCCTTCCTGTTGAAACTCTCATCTGCCTTTGTATCATTTACAACCTTTCCATGTGTTAGACCCCCGGTTTTTACACGGATATATATCTCGTATCGTTCGAATTATCCCATTCCTCCCCTGGATGAGAGCGGTAATACGTTTTACAACTGTTTTTTTTATCGCATTGTTAATCAGGAGTTATCTTCCTTGCTTTCCGTTACACTGCGTGTGCCACCCTCAGCGTCTTAGATCTCCACATAACGCCGTGGTATCGTACTGTTCATTATTGTTTTTTAAAAACGTCACATGGTATTTTAACCACTGAAATCTGACATTTTAATATTTAATCAAGTTTGAAAATAAATTTATGTGGATGGCACCAAGTAGTGCGTTTGGGAAATTGTAGTGGCAGACGGGGGCAAAGTTGGCGGGAAGTCAAAAAAACGAAACGATGATTTGTGGAGCTGTGCTTCAGTCGAGCAATTTTTTTCTTAACCTTACAGACCAGAACGAGGATTCAAACAGGGTTGAGAAGATGAATCCAGTGGATGTAGTACTTACCCCAGAACCGCGGCAGTGAAGTGCTCAATAATTCCTTTTGACTGCTGTTATCCCCATCTTTATTGAGACTATACGCTCCCCGTTCTCATATACCCTATCTCATTATATAAATCTCTTGTGCCCCGACAGTTATCTTCTACTGAGTTTCGCAGTTGCTTAAGTTTCTGATTCAAGGATGAGTGACGCTGATAATATGTGCAATTCAGAGTTGACGCTCGGTACTGAGTCCAAAACAACCCTTGAAGGAATAGCAGCCGCAGGGATCACTGCAGTAAAGGAGACAGGACAAGTGAGTGGCAGGACTATTACTAAATACCCATAGTTTATACTCCTAAGGATCGTTCCATTCCGATTCTTTTAAAGGACCTTATGCTCCATCGGGGAATTTTCTGGCAATTACACATTCTACCCATTGTGCCCGAAGCATTTTTCTCTTTTTGTGAGCTGTGGATGCGGAGCGTTCTTCGAATTGCTCGCCCTTCTGAATCGCGTCTATTGAGGGAATTTGCTAGTTTAGCCCTCCCTTGGGGGCTGGTAGGCATCTTCGTGAATTGTTATGACTCAAGCCCTTCAAAAATATGAGAAGCTGGAAAAGATCGGTGAAGGTACGAGTTTAACTTCGCACGATTGCCTATTCCTCAGGTACTTATGGCAAAGTTTACAAAGCAAAAAATCGCGAGACCCATGAAGTCGTTGCTTTGAAACGTGTACGCCTTGAAGACGATGAAGAAGGCATTCCAAGCTCGGCTTTTAGGGAGATTTGCTTGTTGAAGGAACTGAAACATAGAAATATTGTTAGGCAAGTTCTCGCCCTAGGGCAGCTGCCCATTTTCTTAAATACCGACGACTCTAAGGGAATCTGCTTTCCCTAAAGGTTCATCATTACGAAATTGCCGATTTCTTCTCCCCATATTAGGCCTCTATATACTTAAACTCCCCTCCCAAGTGGTTTACAGTATTGACGTGCGTATACACACATGAACAGTACTTTGGTAGAACTACTCCAGACAGCCTCCTAATCTCGCAGCCGCACACGGGGAGTAGATTTCTTTCTGTCTGGGTATTATCTGAACCCAGCACATGCAGTTTTTAGCCAGCTTTCAGTTTGCGACTTCATCCCTCCCTCCCACAACAGGTTAGCGATCATTGGCAGTAACTGTTAGGTTCTTTCAAGCACACGCACACTTTCATTGTTCCGGCTAGCGACAACGCCGGTTTCGCCGACTTGAGTCTACGGCGCAAGTTGTTAATGCTCATGACAGTCAAGGGAACACGCGAGTCCCTGCTCCCGCCAGGCCGATCGGTGGGGTCTCAACGTCTAAGGGGACGGTGGTGTGAGATACCTTATTGAATGACAAGCAACAGTTAACATGCCATAATTTCGCGCTGACTTGTAACCTTTTTAGCAAGTAGCCGATTTCCCAGCTCAGTACCCACTTGCGTCTGAAAGTATTATAATTGCATGTTCCAGGACTACTTTCTTGTCAGACCCGATAGCCTGCCTATTTGGTTGGACCGTCCGTTATATGCGGGGGTGCCCGGCAGACCTCAGCTAGCCTAATACTGAAATCTCGTTTTCTTGGAGTTCCTGTAATGTTGGCGTACACCGTGCTGCGCACTGACACTGAACTCCGAGTACGTTGCACGAAGTAATCGGAGACACACTATAGAATGCCAAAATGGAAGCAACTTATTTCTACCACCCGGGGTAATAGCGTAAAAGCACAGGACTGGCAGTCACTTAAGCCAACCGGCCATTGTTGGCTACGTGAAGGACTACCAAGGATTCTATAAATTTCCAATTACCAGGACATTCCTTTATCAGACCTGATAACCAAACCAAGTGGTAGAGCGCTTGACAACGACGTACCACTGACAAAGTTCGAGGTAGTGCTGTGGAAATGGCAGTAAGCAAAATCCTAGAGTACTCTTTTTGGGCGTTTACCTTGTGTACCAACTGAGCACAGGTAGCGATGTGTCAGGAGCGTGTAGTGCTCTACACGACTTAACCCGCGGACCGAATCTCGTATATCTCGGCATACATCAGTCTTTATGCCTGGCCGAAGTCGTCTTTGGTGGAGTGGGAATGAGTCGTACTTATAGCTTCCGCTAGGATATTCGAAGGGTTAATTACCTTGACCGATTGCATGTCAGCTGTTACCCCAATGAGTTCACGCAAGTTTCTTTGTTACTTTCAAGAATGCTCGTAACGTGACTAACTATGTTTTCCTGGAAGAAGGGATCGTGTTATTAAATTTCTTAAATTACTACCGTGGAAGGATGCTACCGCCACAGGATTACCAGGTCATTAGGCTCGAGGTCATGTTAAAATCTTTTAACGAGGAATAAGTTAGGCGCACAGGAAATGAGATACGCATGATATGGGTTTGCAACGCAGCTGCGCGTCTGTAGGCCGGCCGGTCACACATGCGTGGCTAACTCAATGCCGATCATAATGAAATTTGAATATTTATGAGTCTAACAGTTCGTGTTATGTCTGTTTCAGCTACCGAATAGCTTGAACACTGACAAATTACGGGTAGAGCTACGTACGCACGATAATAAGACGGTTTGGCTTTCTGGCATATCGTGGATGAGGCAGTCAGAACAACCTGCTTGGCACCAGTACTCGCATTATGGTCGGACGACGGTCGTATGGAGAGCTCGGAGATTTTTCAAATGGTTTGAATGTAGCTTTAAGAAACAATAAGTTTCCCGCATATCTTTTGAACAACACGTCCTTAGAACAATAATCAGTTCGAAGCTACCAGTTTCGTGAAGGCTGCCTTTCCTAGATCCGCACACGTTACCTGCTTTTGGAGTACGTTTACTCCCCTAGAGGCATAAGAACCCATAAACGTCGTATTTTTCTGGCTATAGTCCTAAGGCTCTTGGAAAGTATTTCATTATTAGGCCTGTGTTGCCTGTGTTATGCAACGACAGGCTGCAGTTGATAAGCCGTAACGAAATTTATTGGTTCCAATAAATTCTGCCCTTTATGTTTGCTTCACAATCACTTTCATCAATTGTTTGAGTTTGAGGGCGACAACTTGTACTCATTAGGACTTACCACTTAAAGTTCGGGGGATTCGAGAGTATTTATTACATGCGTCGACTTCCGCATTATCTTCGCTGAGGGAGGTGTTTAAGTCAGCCACGATTTCATTTAGGGCCTCGTAGCTCAGGTGGCTAGGTCATCGTCTGTATTAAAACCTTCCTCTTGCTGTCGTGGGTTCGAATCCCATCGAGGCGCCGAGTTTTTCAGAGTTGGGTCAGTGTGAATTATTCGTTCGATTACTTCCGGTAACACGGGACCCAGTTTCAGAGGTCACACCAAGACACTCGTTTTGACGTCAGTACGGAGTAAAGATCATCCACAGCGTTAAGCATCTCATGCTTGTCCATGCGGATTGCTTTATGCTGGTGGAAGGCATTAGCACCACCTAAGATCTTGTAGACTGCAATTTTTTGCACGTCCATTTAACAGTAGTGGGAAATTTTAAACTGCTGCTACATGCTCACGTTCGCCTAAACAGTGGATCTGTTTCACTGTCTTCACGCCATCGTAACTGCTTAATATAACGCGACCGATTAGCCCGTCTTCTGTTATGCAGCTCTCTGTAATGTCGATAACTTGGAATCGGCAAATATAAAAGTGAGAAAGTAGTTTATTCAAGTGCGTTTACGTATCACTTTCCGTTTTCTACTCTACAGGCACACACTGCAATTCTTCTATCCAATTAAATTAGAGTCATTGTTGAAAAAACGTGAATTTCCAGATAACCTCATTTGTGTATTTTGCCTTCTAGGCTCTATGATGTGCTCATCAGCGAGTCTAGACTCACCATCGTCTTTGAACATTGTGATCAAGACCTGAAAAAGTACTTTGACGCATGCAATGGCGAGATCGACCCGGCTACAGTTAAGGTAACGTTACACAGTGCCTTCCTTATCTTAAGTTTCTACAGGTTGCCATGTAACGATTAGTTGATTGTGACTAAGATCGACTGCGCCGACGACGATGGTTATTTGCAGTCTCGATGACGTCCGGAATTTATTCTGCTTACCAAAGCACCAATGATTCCTGATGGTTTTGTAAGAGCTGCTAGAAGTCTTGGTAGCGATATCCCGGAGTTAGTATCAGTTTCAGTAGAATGATCACGCCTAACTACACTCTTGATCAGAAAGTTAGGTCGCCGCGCACAAATCATACTGTCATCTTAGCCCTATTATGGTGCTAAATAACATGTTTTTGTCGCATTTGGATAAGCCAGAAATGTACAAAAGCCCGATATTCTATGATACAGTATCCGACTAATCTCAATAACCCAACGTTCTGCCTTGCACAGGCGTGCTGGGAGGTCATTTCCATATATTCTCCGAAATTCTGGGGTCCGTTATCAATGTTTTTTGACTCTTCCGTTGGGGCTACTCATGAAATTGTCATCTGTTATTTACTAGAAACTTATGTCGAGGATAACTGATATCCACTTGAAGTCTCTTTATTTTTGATGCCTGCCACCTGTCGTCTGCCATCGAGCCTTTAACCCTTTATTTGAAATTCCCTCTAGCTCTTTATGTACCAACTCCTACGTGGACTTCAGTTTTGTCATATGAACAACGTTCTCCACCGTGACCTGAAACCGCAAAATCTCCTAATTAATGCAAACGGCGAGCTGAAGTTAGCAGATTTCGGACTTGCTCGCGCCTATGGAATACCGGTCCGTCAGTACTCTGCGGAAGTAAGTTTTTCTTCTGAGAATGGTCTCTTTTTACTCTTCCGATCATTTGTTTCCACACCCGATGTTTTTGTTTAGGTAGTCACACTCTGGTATAGGCCACCGGACGTCCTTTTCGGTGCTAAGCTCTACACCACCTCCATTGATATGTGGTCAGCCGGCTGCATTTTTGCTGAACTCTCTAACGCTGGTCGGCCTCTTTTCCCCGGTTTCGACGTAGATGATCAACTTCGACGCATTTTCAAGTAAGCCACATCAAATACCCCCAAACTATTGTTCGATAGACATATTACAAAAATTACTGCCCCCATCATCCCGTTGACACGAACGCATTTGTTTTCCTTCACATTGCACCAGATATGTGGCTGACTTATCTTTCAAAAACTTTAGAAAAACACCTTCGATAATCTTCGAATGTAGGTTACTCAGATGCGTGCACCCAGTCGTCTATCTGGGAAGGCGAACTTCCGTTTCTTCTCTTTTCTCTTCCTGGGTGTCTGAGAATTGCTGATCCAGTCATTCATTTTATCATCAACCGTGGAGTTCCGTAAGATCTTACTTGCCAAGTTGGCGAGACGATGTTATTTTACTCTGATCTCGAATTCAGTGTATCTCATTGGTTGGCGGTAGTGGGTGCGTCACAGTTCAACAGTATCGACCTTGTCGAATACTTCTGTCAGATCGAGCAAGGTAGTGTGGATTGCTGTCCACACTTCTCCCGCTTCCATCCATTCTGTTTGCAGAAATGACACTGCACTTCCGGTAGGGGTCGTTGATCAGACTAAAATAAAATCATCGCTAATATTTTCATGCTAACTTGGTGGATCGACTCTGTGCGGCAGCCGTTGATTCGCCTACTTCCCTCGTGTTTGTTGTGGTGAACAATTCGGACGTCCCCCTGACCTCGCCAAATTTTCTGTTGACGTAACCCGTTTCCTAGGATAGACGGGCAAGTTTTCCCGCAGATGAGTCCCCGAAAGCTATCCGCTTTGTGGTGCCTGGGCGGCCTGATCCTTTTACGTCAGGATTGAACGACATTGGCGGTCAGCATTGGCTTGGACCTGTGGAATTCTGTTGATTGACTGAAGGTGAATAATAACTGTTGCAAAATTCTTCTGATCAGTGCTCAGTATCCGTGAACGCCCCGACGCCATGGCTAAACATAATCGGGACACTGGCAGTTCATTAGTTGTATGTCATCCTTATGACGCAGAAACAGTTCATACTTCCATCGCGATCAGCATATCGTTGAAGTACGTCGGTCGGGTGTTTTGCATCTCTGGTAACTTCGGTTCTCTTTGCCTTAACCGCTCGGTCAACGTGCCTTTGTTCGGATCGATCGTGTTCTCATTTTCTCCACCTGAGGTACAGTAGATGTGCTAACTCATGAAATGTCAACCGAAATTTCGAAATGCGTTCTCGTTTCGAAAAGATAAATTAAGTAGTGTTGTAAAACTAACCCTGATACAGCATAAATCTATAATGATCCAGTTACCTCATGTTGTCGGCTTTCGAAAGAACTTATTTTCGGCTGCATGCAAGATCTATACTCTTCAAAAAATGACTACTTAAGTAGCATGCAATTTTCTCATTGATTTTCGATGCCCTTGAAAATTCAATTATATTTCATGGAAAACATGCATACAAATATTCATTCTTTTACTTATTCTGTAGAGAATCACGTCTTTCAATTTCATACTCAAAAGAAGAGTATAATTCGGTTTTAAAAACTTTTATGATTCGTGAATAATTTTGAACCCGACCTGCTGTTACACTTGCATTCAGGGTTTCAAAACTACAAGCTATATATTTTCCGTGTACGGAAAACCATGCATTTCTCTACGGTGTTAAGAGGAGACCATATGAGGTTCATGAAATTAAGCAGTGGATTTGAACAATATTGTTAACTTTACAAGCCACATTCGTAAATGCAGATACATGGCGTTTCATGAACGGCCATTTAACGGTATTAAAAAATCTCACAATTAGAAACTTTTCTAAAACCGAATTATACTCTTCTTTTGAGTATTAAATTGGAAGAAGACGTGATTTTCTACCGAATAAGTAAAAGAATGAATATTTTTATGCATGTTTTCCATGAAATATAATTGAATTTTCAAGGGCATCGAAAATCAATGAGAAAATTGCATACTACTTAAGCGGCCATTTTTTGCAGAGTATAGATCTTTCATGCGGCCGAAAACAAGTTCTTTCGAAAGCTGACACCCTGAGGTAACTGGATCATTATAGATGTATGCTGCATCATGATTAGTTTTACAACACTACTTAATTTATCTTTTCGAAACGAGAACGCATTTCGAAATTTTGGTTGACATTTCATGAGTTAGCACATCTACTGTACATTACTGGTTTTTAGATGAATATTCAGTGCATTGTTTCAGTCATCCTTTCTCACGTATCTTAACAGCCCATTTTTGCTTAGATTGCTAGGAACTCCTACGGAGGCTACATGGCCGGGTGTTATGGATTTGCCGGAATACAAGGTGATTCAGTTTTGACGTCTTTCTTTACAATTTGGTTTCTTTTATCGAACGACATTTTTGGAACTTTTCTTGATTTATTCAGTCACAGTCACGTACGTTTACTTGACAATCGACTTTATGCGTCTTCTTCCCAGACTTTCACTGTTTATCCACGAAACCCGCACTGGCACCAGGCTGTTCCCAATCTTTCCGTTCGAGGACGTGATCTACTTCAGGTGTGTGGAGCAGTTTTGCCGTTCATTCTTATTCCTCATGTACTCCTCCTCTACTTTTGAATGCGCGCTGTGAAATAACCAATTTGCCTACGATTTTAGCAACTGTTGGTGTGCAATCCGTCGGAGCGTGCAAGCGCTGACCAGGCCCTGGAGCATCCCTACTTCGATGCGCTTGCCATCTGAGTTGCAAGCAATGACTCCTCTCAGTAGGCCCCCACCCCCAACATTCCTCCGATTTTGAAGAAAATAGGAGTAAAGACCTCGAGAGCGCCCACTCTATCACTCTCCTCTCCTGCCTAGACTAAATAATCCGCACTGCATTTGACTTCTGTCTTTTGGTGAGTTGGTCACCGAGGACCCCTCTAAACTCCATCCCCTCTCTTGAAGCTGTGAGCATGTAACTTTTCTATTCACAAATACAGTACATCTGCAAATTTTGGCAACATTATGGCTTAGCTTCCAGTCCGGGCAGCAGTGTATCGGAGTAAGTGGCCCTGCACCCGTTGTTTCGTCTTTAAAGTCGACAAGGGAGACTTCTGCCCACTCCCCTACCCGTAATGCTCCGATGACGAGACGACATTAAGAGGATTGGCATTAAACCTGCTCTCCTGGTTATCGCATCGGTGACAGGCTCCATAAAGTCACTTTAAGAAAAAGATGACTAACAGTTCCACGGACCGAATTTTCCCATAGTTGCCAACCTTTCTAGTTGTAACCTTTAAGGGTACATTATATATCAAACATGCATCGAATTTATCGTGAAAAAAGTATCACATATTCGGCCCCATGCCCGGCAAAACTGATCCATGTCGTCCTGGAATGGGTCTCTACACAGTGGCTGGCCGGGCATTTCATCTCGCCTCTCCTCTGTCACACGCTTTAACACCTAGTTCGGGTCCGAAGCGCTGTAGTATGTCCGTACGTGTGCCAAAAATCCAATGACCTCTAGTTGATAGTGTTTTTAAAGTGGGCCTACATCTCTCCAAAGTCAAAATTTCCTGAAAAGCCGATAGTTTGTTAGATTGTTTTCTGTGTCCCCTAAACGGAGGGTCCTATAGGGAATCTCAGCTTGTATTCCATCCTCTCACACTCCCAGTCGCTGTTTGCTTGGTTTTTATGCTGCTGCGACCTGCGTCACCTTTAGAGTTTTATGTAGAGTTAGGGGTCCCTGGACCAAGTTCATTAACTGATTTACATTCAGAAAAATCAGATCGGTCGTTATTCAGAAGAATCGTACTGTGTGACAAGAAGGAAGAAAAGATACTGCGAGAAATACCGTGACACGAGCCTCGTCAACGTTGCTGCGATTTTTACTGTTGTTATTCTCAGGCGATTCCAAGTCGTACTTAACTCTAGGACGAGACCCAGGGAAACGGGGTTTCGGGCTTGGCGTGGGTGTGGGGACCATCTATTCATACTGAGGCGCATTCTTGGATTTTGCCATGGCTACGAGCAGCCGGCGACGGTCTGTTCTCTTCACTCCGCCGCAGCGTTCGATTCCGTCCCTCTCGAGTCCCTGTGACGGATAATGAAACTAGATGGTGTGCCGGCAGAAATCATTGCCACGGACGAGGCATACTATCGCCCCATCACTGCGCCGGTTCTAGTCCGTAACAGCTTGTCCGAAACGTTCGATCTGACGTTCGGGAGGGTTGTATCCTATTTGCCATTCTGTTCAACTACGTTATGGACTAGATTTTCGGGAGAGCCCTACACTGTGACTACTGACGGGAGTACGGACGAATCGGCGGGTCGATGAGCCATCCCACAGACTCAACTGGCGTCGGTTGGCATAACAATTGCGCGTAAAGGCGTCTTTTCATCATTGCAACAACCAAAGCAGTGAAAATAGGAAATAAACTCGGGCGCGAGACCGACCAACCGGAAGCACCACTTAGGGTTCAGAAATGTTTCTTTAGCAACCAGTGAACCTAATTGCTCGAAAAGTCCCAGATTTCTCTTCCTCTTAGAATCGTACCCTGGCCTTCCTACCTTCCGATCAAATCGGAACTATTTTCCTTTCAGCCCCGAGTTTTTTTTTTGGGGGTCATTCTAAGAGACCTTGCAATTTCGAATCTCCGCGGGTCAAACTTGGAGAAAGCGTTCAGGGGGACTGTCCCGTGACTTTGATTTTCGGATGTCGTCGACGCTAGGCTAGGGGCAATCTTGGCGCCTGCGTTTGCCGTTTTGAGTTTTGTTTAAGAAGTACTCCCGATCGTCTTCACTATCATTACCAGCCAACATCAAGCAATTTTCGTCGAAGCTGCTGTTTGCTCTGGCAAAGTTATTTAGGGATAATTTAAATGCAACATCTCTCGATGGAGCTATAATTAACGCCATTAGAGTTCGTCCAGAAACTCCACCACTTTCACCAAAATTTTCAGTCTACCGTTTGTAATCAGGCTCGCTGGCTAAGACGGCATAAGTAAGCGAACGTTGAAAAATACTAATGATTAGGTTTTAGCAGCGAGGGGCTTGACTATACAACTGCGACAGGAACCACCTGTATGCAGGGCAGGGGAGGAGGCGGGCGAGTTTCCGTGTTTTTCATTGATTGCCGGTGATCTGATTCGTGGTACTACAGTAGGTAACGCACTCAAACATCTGTACTAAATTGGAAACCGGTCTAAATTCATCGACCGAAACTCCCAATTAGTAATTGACGGCATTCACTTAAATGAAAACACAAGAGGGCTATCAGACGCAGTGTTACGTCTGTCAGTGATAATGATTTCCGTAAGAAAAGTAGGGTCTGAAGACGTAAAACGTCATGGGGACACACCAACAGAAATAGGAACGGGTTGAATGCGTCTATGCAGTCGTCCTCTGCGTTTGCAGGGGACGCTCGCTGGTATTTCCGACGTGGCAAACAAAGCTTCAAACTGGCTTACCAGCCCTCCGGTTTTTCGTGATATGCACAGTGGGTGGGATAACTCATGGAATGTCAACTGAAATTCCGAAATGTGTTTTCGGTTCGAAAAGATTGATTAAGTGGGGTTGTAAAAGTAATCATCATGCAGCATAATTCTACAATGATCCAATTACCTCAAGATGCCGGGTTTCAAAAGAACTTCTTTCCGGCTGCATGCAAATACTACATTCTGTAAAAAAATGACTACTTAAGTAGCATTGCGTTTTTCACTGATTTTCGATGCCCTTAAAAATTCAGTTATATTTCATAAAAAAACATGCATAAAATATTCATTCTTTCGTTCATTCAGTAGAACCTGGCGTCTTCTTCCAATTTTGTACTCGAAGGAAGAGTATAATTTGGTTTTCAAAGCCTTTTTCCAGTTCCCGAATAATTTTGAACCTCACCTTCCGTTGCACTTTCATTCAGGATTTCACAACTACAAACCGTATATTTTTCGCGTACCGGAAACCATACATTTCTCTACGGTATTAAAAGGAGACCACATGGGGTCCACATAATTTTGCCGTGGATTTGAGCCATATTGTTAACCTTACAAGTCACATTGGTAAATGCGGAGGCATGGCGTTTTATTAACGGCCATTTCATGGTATTGAAAAATATGACAATTTGAAACTCTTTCAAAGTCGAATTATACCCTTCCTTCGAGTATGAACTTGGAAGAAGACGCCATTTTCTGCTGAATGAACAAAAGAATGGATATTTTTCTGCACGTTTTCCATGAAATATGATCGAATTTTTAAGGGTATCGAAAATCAATGGGAAAAATGCACGCTACTTCAGTAGTCATTTTTTACTCAGTATGGTATTTGCATGCAGCCGGAAAGAAGTTCGTTCGAAAGCCGGCCACCTGAGGTGACTGAATTATTATAGAATTATGCTGCAAGGTGATTAATTTTACAGCTCTTTTCGAAACGAAAACGCATTTGGGAATTTTGGCTGACATTTCATGAGTTAGCCCGCCTACTGTAGCTGTCAACTGCACCTTGTCCTCAAATCGGTGCTGCGAATCATAGCTCAATCACCCCTCCTTATCCTCTGAGCAAGGGTCGCTGATGCGCGCGTATTTCCCGATGCTCGAAAATGTGACCCTTTAAGAGATCTGCAGCCTCGGGTGCGCACAGATTTGCGGTCAAGGAGGGCACCATCTGGAACGAAAAACTGATCGGCTAAAACCACGCACATATGCATATTTGAGGATTTCAGTCACCTCTTTCTGCGAATGTAGTCGCGAGAAAGAGGAACTGCAACGATCATTTCCGACTGGTCTTTGCCGGCCAACCATATTGAAACCTTAGATAGACGGGGCCGGAGATTTGAATTCGAGTTCAAAGTGACGATTGGGCTTAAGACTACAAGGTGTGCAACGAACTCACGCTCCGTTGGCTAAGGTCGGGAATATTCAGCCACGTTGTGTTTGCTTGTACCGATGTGACCCAAGTGCACTGCGTTTTGCAGAGGAAGCCCATGTTCTTCCATGGCCTTTCTCTACCGACCTCAGTTCATGCATATTACCAAAAAGGATCCCGAACCACAAGTTCGGCTAGCTGAATTCACGAAATCCGACAGCCTCTAACGGATCGGAGGGTGCAAAAGTTAAGAAACCAAGGATGGGTTTTGTATATCCGTCCTACGGTCAGACTTAAAGATGGTTTGGTGCGTTTTCAGCATCTTCGTCCCCTTTCCTACCCGGCGATGAAAAATATCAGCTCAGGAGTTTCTTGTCTGCAAACTCGTTACACAGTAAACTTTTGGCGACATTAAAATATGGTATAGTTGTGCTTTTTTTTCACAAACTAAACTGTGACTGCCGCTAATCATAGGTATACATCCATACACATATATAACATATATTGATAATCTATATACATATGCGAGACCTCGTCATATAAAGTCTGTCCGTGTACTTTGCTTGTTTTAAGAAGTAAAGCCTCCATTTTCGGTATGTATTCTGTTTGAGATCCCATATGCAACTGAGTTAGTGAAGGGTGAAGAAAAACCTTCCGAATATGAAACAGCAGTAAGCGAGGGTGTGCATTTAGGGATCTTCGCCGCCGTCGCCGCCATTACCACCGCGTCAACTTCCATCATTTGACACTGCGGTTGGTCGGAGTGCTCGAAGAACTGGCTCTTGAAGCCGCTGAGATCGATCTTGAGTCAATCCTCAGTGCCAATAACTCGCCCCCGGAACCTGATCTTGATGATAAAGGTGTAGTCCTGGAGACGAGGTCACGCCTGGTCGGCAGCGGAA